CACCAGGTGAAGAGGTGGCGCAGCCACGCCCCTAAAATGCTGGTCATAAAAAGGATCCCCTTCCAGTAAAGGCTTCTACAGAGATAAACAGTGAAACTTCTATAATAGGAACTCAAACTCGATTTTTTCCATTGAATGTTACTTCAAGAAGAGTATTAAGTACATTAGAGAATTAAAATAAATATATTTTATCCTGGTAGTTTCATTCACTTGGGTTCCACTGCACTCTCTCGCTTTGCTCAATTTTTATGACATAAAAGCGCCGAGACTGCCATTAAAGAAAAGTGTAGCACGCTTCTTGGCCTCAATGGAGTGGGTTGGAATGGCAACGGAGATTTTTTTTAACATCTCTCGCAGCAAGAAATTTTCCAACACATTTGGCAAGCGAGTTTCGGGCCAAGAATCGCCGCGAAAGGAATTGGGATTGGTAGTGGGAATGGGAATGGGAAAGCGAATGGGGCTGAGGCGTATCTAGGGAATCGCTTGGTTTGTTTTGGCCAACCCGGTTCGGTTCAGTTGCCACAGTCAGTGCCGGTGTCGGAGTCCGAGTCAGCGTCGGAATCATTTTCATTTCGTTTTCATTCTGCCTTCGCCACTGCTGTTGTCCTTGCGCAAATAATTTCACTGATAAAGGATTTTCAACGCATCTTATGCTCGCTGTTTGCACTTTCGCAATATGTTTGCTGGCAGTTTGTTTTTTATTTTATTTTTTTTTGTGTTCACTGCCCAAGAAATATATATTATGGCCGCTCAGTGTGTATCTATCCGTATACAGTTGCATTCGGATTAATAGCTCAGGATATATTAGTATTATTGAAATTTTCCTTAACTAAATAAACGAAAAGAAAATAATATTAAATGTGAAACCCAAGACTTAATTAAAGCTGACGTATTTTATTTTTATTCAACATATTTTTCATCAAAATTAAATCATTGAACGTTTTATTAAGTCGAAAAACACCTACTTATCTCTAAGCCCATCTTTCTATGTTGCAAAATACAAAATTTACTTTAAAACACTCTGATTTATTGTCTAAAATATAAACATTTTGGTAGCTTATATTGTTTCTTTTCATTAATAATTATACTTTGCCCAAACTATTCCTTTAACTGCAATTGTTTTTGGCTCGGCGGAAGCGCCTGTAAGTAGTTTACGCGCATTTAAAAAGACGAAGCTGCAGCAACAGCAGGCGGCTGGCGTGGCTGAGTTGTTGCCCTGCCAAGACAAAGGATTTTGAGGCACAAGGAGCAGCGCAGGGGGCATCCTTTTATTCCTTCCCGGCCAAGACAAGGAAATGAATGTTGCACAGACCGGTGAAACGTGCAACTTAAATGTTGTTGCTGCCAGTACCTTACGCTGCACTTTGTTGATGTTGCTGCTGCTGCTGCTGCTTGCCCCTGATGTTGCAATGGGCATTGTTTGCCTGTTTCACAGCCAAAATGAAACTCAAATCAACTCGTGCATTTCTAATGCGAATTTATATGTTTTAACCCGTCGCTGCCATCAAAATAGCAAATGCTTTTGGCTGCTTTCTGACATGTCCGGCTAGTAAAATTTGTGCCCTTATTGAAATGAGCCAAAATGTACACAATGTTTGCTGTGGACCCGACCCAATAATGTTGCAGCTGTAAAAGGGCGATGTGCACTAGAAAAAAATACCTACTACAATAAAGTTAAAAGAAGATGTACTACTTTTCAAGTATCTTAAACTTTACAGAGCTTTTTAGAGACCTAAATAGTAGGTATATTATGTAAGGTTTTTTTAAAAACTATTTGTACTAATATTCTTATAACTAATTTGCTGGGCTCTCTACCCTTGGAACACTTCTTTTCCCTGTGTAGAGTGGGGAGTGTAATCGCAATTCCAATCGGAATCCGTGTACGTTTACGTATCTCAATCCCTGCTCAGCCACTATAATTTCTTTCTTGCTGCTCGCCGCTCCTCCCTTTTCCGGACCCTCTGAGCTTCCTCGGCAGATTGCCAGACTCCCTTGGAGTCTCAAGTCTCCGTCTCCAGTCCGGGTCCGGAGTCAGTTTGTCAGGTTGTCAGCACATCGAAGGAGGTGGAGGAGGAGGAGGAGTGGCAAATGGGAAATGGGAAAATCTGGGGGAACTTCGAGACGAGGAGCGGAAAAGCCAAGCTGAGCTCCCATAGCCCTGGCCAGGACTTGCTTTTGTTACTCATTTATTTTGATTTGTTTACCATTGCGATTTATATTTCTTCCTCTCAAAGCGAGAGGAGCAGCAGCAGAAAAAAAGAGCAGAGAGCGTGCAGAGCAATAAAATTAAGCTCGGATTTATTGACCCATTTCAGTTTGACTTGCTGCCATTTCCTTAACCCCTCCCTCCGTCTCGGCTCCTCTTTTTGTTATGCATGGCAACTAAATTAAAATGTTTTTTACTAATCCCGACAAGTTACTCTTTTAATTACTTTTTCTCCTTAAATGAACAAAGCCGCACAGGGCCAAAGGATTCACCTCCTCACCAGAGGCTGCCCATTTTCACTTTGTTTACATTTCCCGGGCCCGGGCCCGGTCCGAAAACCGATTTTTATTTAATTTGCCAACTAACCGAAAAAGCCAGATACCTATTCTCCCCGAAATTGATCCAATTTAAGTATTGATTTCGAATTTAACAATATTTTAGCCACTTGGCTCTGCTAATTGAATCCGGCTGTAGTTGGAGGTTGGCCGGAAAATGTTTGCTTTCTGCTACATATTTTCTCCTAACGTTTTGTTTTATATTTTCTGTGAGTGTGTGTGCTCTTCAAGATGTACCTAGACCAGAAGGCAATTATATAAATGAAGGCTTTTGCATGCGCTTGGCTTGTCAAGTTTCGGATTTATTTGTTGCTCCCTTTGTGGCCCTTTTGTGTTATTCGGAGCGAGCGGAGCGAGTGTATTATAAGCAGCCGAGCATCGCATCGCATCCGACTACAAAAGGCGTTAATTAAATATCTTTGCTCAAAGACAAGGCGGCAACCAATTACAATAGTCGACGACTGCGCGACTTCCCAGCGACAATGACAGTGTTCTCGTAATTCTCAACAAAAATCTCATTAAGTGGCGCAGCGCAGAAAGAAAAGCACCGGAAAGTCACACGAAAAAATAATCATTGAAAAGAAGTTTAAATGAAATATTAACTCTTGATTAAACAATGTTTTTATATTGTTTTTAAAGGGTTTTTGGTGGGGTTCCAAAGGTAACATTTCGTCAGTAAATTTAATTAGAATTATTCAAATTCTACCCCATTCTCCACTTTATTTTTCCCCGTGCATCGGCACTTGTTTCGGGGGAGTTGACAGACAAGTGTTGGCTGAAAACCGAGATACCTTTGTTGAGCAACAGAGCCACGACCCCGAGCTCTTGTTGCCATTTTGCCTGGCAAACTATTTCGAATGGGGAACGGCTAATGCGATTGGACCAAATCGAATGAGTGGAAGGGTTGTCGATTGAAATTCAAGTGGCTGTCGCAATTAATTAATTTCATTGTCCTCAGCCAACCCTTCGCTCATCCGATCCGCTCTGGGGTTCAGAGTGCAGCCAGGGAGACGCTCGAATCTCCGGATGACACTCATTAACATAAAACCCAAAAGGTGGCCGCAACCCATAAAGCCAGCTCAGTTTTCACACTCATTAAAACGCGGAGGAGCTGGCCCTATAGAGGGGGAGGAGCAGGAGCTAGTGTCCTATCTGGGCTGACGTCAGCACTCAAATTTCGGCGACAGAAGCGAACCCTTTTTCGGCAGCCGCAGCCTCAAAACATTTAAATGTAATCTATTATCTTAATTCCAACACAAATTGTTTGGCGGACGCGGACGCGAACGTGGCATTCCTTATTCGGATAGAGATTCGTCCTTGTGCGGGCTCTTAACCCGGCTAACGAAAATAAAAGCCCATTTACAAGGACTTGAGCCGCCTGGCAATTCAAATGCCAAGACAAGGACAGCCAAGGCAAGCGCTGAAAAGCAAAGCTTATCGGCCGCAACGTAAATCACCCAATTTACCATAAATAAAGATACGTACATATTGTCAGTCGGGGAGGGAGCGGTGGCCTCCGCCCAGGGTGGGTGGTGGCTCTTTTAGCTGTGGGTGCAACCGCAAGCGTGGCCACCGCCGAAAACCGAAAACCAAAAGAGCCGAAACAAAACACCTTATCGCGGGCAGGCACATCTTTAAGTGGCTGTCAACGGAAGCGGCGGCTGGGGAGGATTGGCTGTGTGGATGTGGTGGGGCTGCCACAAGGGGTTGGGTTGGGTTCGGTGGCGGATGATAGTGGGTTGCCCGGGGCAGACGGGGCAACTACACCATTTGGCCGAACATAAATCCGGAGCAACCGAAGCGAGTAAAGGTGCTGCTGCCACCGGAGATAAATAAATAGCCGTAAAGTCTTTCGGGGGATTCCCCGAATTACACTTAATAATAGTCCAAGTACAGTAAATAAATAAACAAATTGAAAAGCCCATCAGTCCTTGGAAATCACAAATTAAAGGTGAAGTTAGCGGTAATAAATCTATTTATGTAGTTTACCCATTTAAGCACGTAAATATTTTCCAAGAAAATATTTGAGAGAAATAATCACCCTTCTCTTGAGTTTAAACTGTGATTAAATACATCTTCCTTGGAAATTTGTATTTAGACATGAAGGGGCTTTAGCAATTCCATATTAGCTAACCAAATTTATGAAAAACCCTTCTCGGTAACCCCTTGAAACCCTCCCAAATCTGGCTATAGCCCAGTTGAAAAATAGCGAAACCTATCCTGTTAGCCAACCCTGCCTGCTGCCTGGCGCATCTGATCCAAGCCAAATCCCCCTCGGCTCTTGGCTATTACTCTCGTGATCAGCAGGAGTGGGGCTGGGCGGGGAGGCCTGTTACTGGCTGCTAGATGCTACTCCTTGCCAGTCTTGGATTTACTTTACAAAAGCAACATTTTGCCAGTTGCGACACGCCACTCACCAGTGTCACCATCTAACCGGCTTCCCATCTACTCTTTTGCAGGCACTTCAGCGGGAGTTGGAGCTCCAGGAGCAGGAGTAGGGGCTCCAGGACCAGGACCAGGAACAGGAGCAACAGCAACCCAAAAGACGACAGCAGCAAATCGCGATTATGACGATGATGACGAGCACAACGACAAGGATGAGAGTCAGAACAACAAACACAACGACTTGGCCGGAAGGAGGGAAGAGGAGCAGGCCAGGGCTCGGGATTCTGTGGCCCAGGATAAGGAGAAGAAGGTCGAGGGGCAGGAGATGGGCACGAAGGATGCTGTTGCCAAGCCTGCGGCGAGTCAAAAGCGTGCAGCACAAACGACACAATCGCGAAATCCCATCAGACGGGCGCACAGCGAACGGCATTTGTCGACCGCGCCCGTCCACGCCCACTCCAGAGGCAGCGCCTCCTCTGCCTCCACCTCCTCTTCTGGCAGCAACTCCCACTCCATTCCCGTCTCCAGTGGGCCACAGAATGTCATTTTAAATTTTAAGGACACAATGGCGCTGCGCATAAAAAGCAACCGCAGCGACTCGAGAGATTTATTTCAAAGGCGGCCCACTGAGCCGCCTCCGCCGCCGCCAAGGAGTGGTGGAGTTGGTGGGTCTGGACCAGGAAAAGGATTAGAGCGGCTGCCGCACGAAATCAATAAGTCACCAGCGACGCCTCAGAGGACTGTGGTACGGGTGGCGCCCTTTAAGCAGCCGCATCATCATCATCAGGTGGGTGAGCACGAGGTGCATCGCCTAAAGATCTCGCACAGCGAGGAGGATTCCGACTTGGGTGTGGAGCTGCGGCGCAGACCCAACACCCTGCTGCTGCACCCGGAGGAGGAGGATGATGCCACTCCGAAGAAGACCTCCATTTTGATTAGCGGCGACGATTGCTACTCCACGATGAACCTGAGTGCCGATGCTGCCCAGCCGCTCTACCAGTCCTCGGTGGTGGTCAACAGCCACTCGGCCACGAGCGTCTGCATCAATGTCAGCAGTGCCGAGGAGCAGGAGCAGGAGCAGCAGCTCAACCAGCTGAACACGCTGCGCAGCCAGCAGATGGGCATGGGCATTGCCATCATACCTATTCGCGGAGCCAGCGAGGTGAACCTCCAGCGATCGGTGTCCTGCATCTCATCCACCTCGAGCAGCTCCACCTCCAGCAGCAGCAGCTCCAGTGGCCGGGGAAGGACCCTCATCCGTCTGGATTACGAGCGGGAGAGGAAGGGATCGGCCACCAGCAGCACGCCTATTAATACGCCGCCTGTCATCAGCTCCACGCCGGCCACGCCGCCTCCGATGGCCTCGCCGGGAGGCAGTGGAAGTCCCACTTCCAGTTCGAGTCCCACCTTGGTCCCCCACGAAACGGAGCTTCTAAAGATCCTGCGGAATCCCGTAGAGGCGGTCAAGCTCAACCTGGTTCCCCATGTGTGTGGCCTGCGAGCTCCTCCGGCGGACTGTGGACGCTCAAAGAAAATGCAGGCAGAGACGGCAGGAAGTGCTCCTGCGGCCAAGGAACCAGGCTTCATAGCCAAGCTCCTGCAGGACCCAATGCTGGGCCAGGTGGCCGAGGGCCTGGAGACCGAGACCGTGGCGGAGCTGATAGAGAACAGTCTGCAGCGACTGCAGCAGGCCCGCCGCGGCATCGACATGAGCGGCACCAAAGACCACGACGACATGAACCGCCTGATCAGCGCCTCGCTGCAGCGCATCCGCCAGGAACGGCAGCCGGCGCCGACGCCAACCAAAGAGGAGGACCGCCTGTCCAACCGGGGCAGCATCAGCTCCGCCAATAGCTTCGCCTCGGCCCACAACTACGAGCTCTTCGACTTTGACTCCGGAGCGGGTGGCAATGAGTCCGATTGCTACCAGAGCTGCTCCAGCGAGCTCACTGCCGCGGGTGTCCTCGACGAGGAGTCGGTTCCGGTACTAGCCTCGAGTGCCGAGAAGGATCCCGAACTAGAACTGGACCCTGCCACGCGGGCCAAGTTCTATCAGCTGCTGGTGGACGCCACGCTGGCGGAGATCGAGCACTCTACGCACGCGGAGCAGGAGCGGATGGGCGGTGAGACGGAGCACCACTACGAGTCCATTCGCCACAGTGGAGACCCCATTTACGAGGAGATCCACGAGGTACCCCCACCACTGCCGCTCTCAGCGCCGCCCCTGAACGATGCCGAGCTGGACAAGAAGGCCGCTAGATCCATCTTCGAAGGAGCCTCCAAGTATGATATACTCTCCTACCTAGTGGACGCCAAGGAGAGGGGCCTGGCCCGGGAGGAAAGCTTCGACTACGGAAATAACCCGAAGATCATAGAGGAGGAAGCTGCCGATACCCTTAGTGACTTAGACAAGCGGCAGGCGGAGGAACGTGACCGGGAGCGGGACAGTGGCCAGAGCAGCATGAGTTCCCTGTCGCCGCCACCACACAACTTTATCTGCGGCGGCGGTGGAGGAAAGTCCGGTAGCGATGTGGAGCGCCAGGATTCCGGAGTAGGCTCGGAGACAAGCAAGACATCGCGGAGCAAGTACCAGGCCACGCCCACCGTGCTCCATCTGTGCGAGGACTGTGACGGAGCCGTGGAGATGCAGGTGGGCGACGGTGGAGTCGTCTACGCTCCCCTCGTCTGCCGGAAGTGCGGCAAGAAGCGCGTGGAGCGCAAGGAGATCATCACCGAGATCGTGGAGACCGAGGAAAAGTACGGCAGGGACCTGCAGATCATACTCGAGGAGTTCTGCCACCCCATGCTGGTGGCCGGCCTGCTCACCCAGGAGCAGCTCTCCGCGATCTTCCTCAACACGGAAGATCTGCTCGAGAACAACCAGACGCTGGCCGAGCGCATGCGCGACGCCCTGGACATGTCGCTGGAGCAGGGCGACGACGACCTGCTGACGGTGAACATCGGGCGCATCTTCCTCGACTTTACCCAGATGCTGCACGCCTTCGAGAGCTACTGCGTCCGCCAGGCGGGCGCCAGCTTGTTGCTGGCTAATCTTGAGAAGGAGAAGGAGCTGTTGAGGATCTTCCTGAAGGTCTCCCAAATGGAGAATACCGTATTGCGACGCATGAACCTCAACTCCTTCCTGATGGTGAGTCACTACATTAAACTTGTAATGGAACATTAAATGATAAATATATAACTTAAATGTTTAATTTCTTTTTTGTTTCATTATATTCAGTTATTTAACAATAATTTAAAGAATTTTTAATCAAACTTTAGAAAGTTAAGCATTTGCTAATATAACTTTTTTTCTTAGGTTCCCGTTCAGCGCGTTACGAAATATCCCCTGCTCTTGGCTCGCCTCTACAAGGTCACTCCCTCGCACCTCGATGGCCGCGATCTGCTGAAGCAGGCCCAGGAGAAAATCGAATTGCATCTGAACCACATTAACCAGGAGGCCAAGGATGTGCCCACCAAGCTTTGGCGCCGCATCAGCTCTTCAAGTCCCAACCGTCGTGCCTCCTGCGAAATCGACATGATCAACATCAAGCTCCGCAAGATGGCCATCGATGTGCTGGAGTGGAACCACGACGAGGTCCGCTTTGCCATGGAGGGTCGTCTGCTCTACACACAGCCCACGGACAGCAACTGGAAGAAGGCGCGCACCATTAAGCTCACGCCGGTCAACGCTCTATTGGTCACGAATGGCAAGGTGCGTTTTGAACAATTAACATTTGTAATTTATTTTTGTTGTCCAACTAAAACTTGTTAAAAAAGATATACTTGCTTATTTAAGATATTTTTTAGACGAGTTCTATGGTTTAGTAAACCCATCAGTAGGGTTTTAGGCTTACAAATATATAAACACATTTGGAAAAAATGTTAAAATGTTAAACTAAGCGAGTAAATATAGTCTACTCCACACTCCTGTAGATTCTTATCAATAACATTCATATATTTTATAGGGTGAAAAGATAATTTTAAATACTTTTTAAAGTATAAACCCTTGCAAGGCTATGAAAATGCGAACTATAACATTTTTCTTTAGCAAATTTTATAATAAATTTGTATAAAATTATACCATTTAAACTAAAGTAGTAAGCTTCCGTTTATTACAAAACTACCTTTATTAAATTATACAAAGGGAAATGACCTTTTATCATAAGCAACAACCATTTTTTCTTGACGAGAATGAAAAACATTTCGTGGCTTCTGCTTTTTCCTTGCCTGTCCTTTTTTTTTATCATGCTGAGCACCTCTTGTGGAACCTGCTCCCACTTCTCCCCTCGCTGGCATCACGTTTGACAGGCGCCCAGAGACGGCTTGGGCGTTTGACACGAGGCAAGTCGATGGCCATGGCGATGGCGATGCCAAGGCAATTAGCGAACGGCGCTTGCCACTAACCTCTCCGTGCGGCGGGAGCTGTCGCTGACCGGATTGCGGAGCTAGCTGTCCCGGCTGTCCCAGCTGTTCCGGCTGCCATGGCAACACTTTTCCGTGCGATAAAAGATTTCAACAAATCAGAGCCGAGCCCATTGAAGCGAGACCGCATCCACATCCATTCAGCCGGTTATCGGACTCCAGCAGCCTCGTGCTGGTGCTCGTTCTCGTTCTCGTTATGCTCCTGGTTTTTTCCTCCTAATGAAAAGTGCTTATCCCAGCAACTATCTCTGGCCCGAAAAACAAAAACCCATTTTAGCCGGGGCAGAAAGTAGAGAAGTAGCTTGCTCCTGTCGTCTGGCCTCCGGGATGGGCATACGGACGGGGACGGTGACAGGGACAGGAAGGAATAGGGGTCCTGGGATCGGGGGCGTAATCTGCCTACCACGGACGCAGTGCGTATGTCACATGTTTTGTTTGGTTTTTCAGCTCCGATCGGGGTTTCTATTTTTTCCAATGGCCTGCTCTAAATTTCTGGCCCGACAATTGCTCAATTCAAGAACGGTCAGTGCCGAGTCCGTTGCCTGTTCCCTTTTTATTAGTATTTTTCTGTTTTCCTCTTGTTTTGGGTGAGCGTGTGGGTCTTGTGGCTCCAGTTGCTTCTTGGTGCCGCTTCCTGCGGCAGTTTCTCGGCCTGACACGCTTTGTGCGCTCCTGCTGGAGCCTTATCTAGGACGGTGTTTAAAGCACTGAGCGAAAAATAAGGATAAGAAAATAAGGAAATTAAAGAAAAAGTGGTTCTTAAAGGTAAAATGATTTATTAATAAGGTGCTGTGTTTATATTTAATATATTTACTTTCAAAAAATAAATATTTAAAACAAATATCTCTTATTAGGAATGCTAAATTATCAATACATCTATATTGTATCGCAAGTGTCGATATATAAATCGATACTTTAGTATTTTTGCTATATCAGATAATTATAATCGTTCAAAAATAATAAAGAAGTTAAATTGATGGAAAATATTTTCAATACAATCGATATTCTTGACTTAAACTACAATTACTTTGTATATGTATAATTTTAATAGATTTACTTTATTTTTTCCATCGATAAAAATCGATATTTTATTTGCTTGTAAGAAAAACTGCTTGTCAATTTTTTCCCAGTGCCTTTCCCCATCTATTTTTGAGTTGTAATTTTGTTTAGTTTCGTTTTACAGAATTTTCCTTATTTTTTCTTATTTCTGTTCCTTTCTTTCCATTGTCGCTGCTGCTGCTCCTGCTCCTCCTCCCGATGCTGCTGGGGTTTGCTGGACTTTTTTATGCCACACCAACCGACATCGACGACAACTAAACCTAAAAACAACGACAACTACTACTACAACAGCCAAGTGCCAATTACAGGGCGGAGAAGGCCGTGTCGGAAAAACTGAACTTCCCGAAGCACACGGGCATCCGCGAGGCCTCGCTCCTGCTGGTGAAGGAGAAGTGCGGACGCTACACGCTGATCCGGGAGCCGCTCTATCTGGACAGATGTGTCGTGTGCAGCGAGGCGGATTGGGATGATTATTTCGAAGTGCAGGAAATTTCATCGAAGGACACATTCATATTCAAAGTGAGTACGGGGACGGGTTCAAGAGAGTGGGGGCTATCGCTTCGATATCGGCTTGGCTCCCTGGCCCTTTGTTTTCCACTTCAGCTGGCCAAGCCAATTCGGTCCGCAGTCCGGAGTCCCGAGTCCGTATCCCGGAGTCCGTGTCCCGTGGTCCGTGGTCCCGTGCCAGTTGAGTTGGCTTTTGAATTAGTGAGAGCCTGCCTTTTGACTGCACAACGCCAGTGTTTTGGGCTTCGTTAGTTTTCCAGCTTAGTGTGGGCATCGCTTTTCGCTGTGTGTGTGGGGTAGGGAGAATGATAGTTCTGGGGCTTTTTTCCTTCGCCCTAGAAATGTGGTTAATAGAGCAGTGCAACAGGAGGGTTAACAGGCCGCGAAATGGTACAATGCCACATATACAGCAGGGGGTTAAAGGTCCTTAAGATGAGTATGGAAAAAGGCGTGTACTTGGAAATAGGTTTTAAATCTCAATTATTTTCAAGTTTCATCTGCTTGAAGTCTTTAATTTTTCAAAAAAAGATTAAGCATTCTTTACTGGTCAAGAATGCTTGTCCCTGATTTACCATTTAATCCAGGAAAATTCAATATGCAGCCGTTTCAGCTGAATCAGCTTAAAGTGCTTCCCGCACAATCATCTTGGAATGTAATAAAAGTCACCCTTGGATAGCTCCTTCATTCGCACTCACATGCTCATAACCTTTTCTGGGGCTTGCTACCGAATTCCTTGGAAGGAATGGCGAAGAAGCAGCACAATGAAGAGTTTACCTTTGGCTTTAGCCCCGCCGGTTACCCGGGGAAAGTAAAGTAAAGCAATTTTAATAACAGACAGAGCGCAAAAAGCGTATGCAAAAATCCATTTCAAATCTTCGCTCGTCTAATGCTTGTAGCATCATCGCCATCATCATCCCACCAGCCAGCCATCCAGATTTTAGTCATGCAAATTTCTATTTTGCTTTTTTTTTTTTTTTTTTTTTTTTTGCTCCGGTTCAGGCCTGGCTAAGCCGTCGGGCGGACGGGAGGTGGGTCCTGGCACAGGAGCCGCAGGCGGGGCTCCTTTCAGACGCGCTCAGGCAGCGCACGTAGAGCGGCTGCCAAAATGAATGACATTTATTGAAATACGTTATATAAAGAATGAAAGAAAAACGCACGGGAGCGCAACAAAATGGCTGCGTGAATGGCGGGAAAGGATCGGGCAGGGATCGGGACCGGGGCTGCGAACAGGATTCAGACCGACTGGGGAACAGGGCGAGACAGACAGCAGGCGGGTTAAAGCTACAGAAAACAGAGCGAAAAATGGGTGTTCTTTTTTTATTTAAAATTAAAATTGTATAAAATTTAATTGTATCATTCAAAATATTGTAAATAATATTACTTATTTGCTAACTTGAGGTCCTTTTCTTATTTATTAAGTTAACTACGTCCTTTGTTTATTGAGAAATTATAAGGTGGTGCGTACCTGAATTCATAACTGAATAAACTTAAATTAAAGCTTAGGTTATAATGTAGAAATAATTGCAAATTCAAAAGATTTTTTTAATTTTTTTTAATGTTTTTATATAAATAATGAAAATTAATAATAAAGAAAATAGGATACGTGTGATGTTGGCAACATTTTCTTCACTACCCTTCGGGTTCCATATGTTTGATGAGTGTAGGGAATAATCCTTGACGTAGGCAGATGGGGGCCGGCGGCGCATAAATTGAAACGTTTAGTTCCGGCCAACTGAGCAGCTGACGAGTCTACATCCCGGCAAACCCGTGCACCCGAGCACCCGAACACCCGTGCCCGTAACCCCGTACACACGTGCGTATACGCAATCCACGAGCCCTGTCACAGTGACAAGTTCTGCGAGGGGTGAGCTTTCGAAATCAGGCGGACTGAGGGCCAGGGGGACACCCAGTGAGGGGTCCAGTCAATCAAATACGTCTAACGGGTTTACACCACGCTTTATTTATTCACCATTCGCAGGCAGAGGACGGCGTCAGGACGAAGCAGTGGTACACCCAGATGCAGTACCATGCCCAGGGCATGGGGGCGTGGAGGAAGCGGCGCAACGCTCTGGCCAACATCATGATCAACGGTATGCTGGCGCGGAGCTAGCCCAGAAGGACGAAGGACGTGTAACTCAACAATTGGTTATGCATTTAATTTGTATTTATGCGCTATTAACCAACGAGAGCGATTTTGTTTCGTAATTATAATTTAAGTGATATGCAATTGAATCGAGCACGCATAACGCTAGTTAGTGTTTACATAATGCCTACGACTATGCCCATTACCTATACCAATACTACTTATCTCTATACTCTATGCATAACCATACGTACACACACGAATACCCTGAACACAATGCAATAAAGTACCATACATACATTAATTAAACACCTGAAATTGTGAAATAATTGAGGGAGGAAGGGGGGCTGAGCTTGCGTCATAAATCCTGGCCCTGGCATGTCTATTGATTCCCACCTGGCCTCCGCCTCGAGCAGTTCACTTCTTCGATAAATCTTACGTGGCTGTATTATTTTTAAATTTCGCCGCAAGATTTATGGAGGCAGGCGGCCGACAAAAGGGAAATTATATATATTATGGGAAAATCGAGGCACGCACGTGGCCAAAGACTAAGGCTGAAACAATCAGGACTCCCTCCTCGGCAAACGCATAAACCATTGTAAATACCTTCGGTTTCGTGGCCGAGAGCCAACCGAGTTGATTAAACCATTTTAAATCCCATGAACTCATATTTGGCCAACAATAAAAACACTCAAGTGGCAAGGACTGGTATTGGGCACTCGGCTTTATTATTTGTTTAATTACACAAACAACAGGGCAGCCAGATTATTATGGTTAAACACGAAACGGTAATTGTTATGGCCAGCAATTGCTGCGACAATTGTAATGGGCAAAAACGTAAATAAATATGTTTGTGAACAGGACTAGGTTGTTGTTGTTGTTGTATTTGGGCATACAAAGGGTGTCTGGTTTAGACTCTAATCTATGGCTATATTTTGCTAATGGATTTCTGGTATTATAATATCTGCAGACAAAACAGGAATTTCGATTTTAATGATAATCCTTAAATACCATTTAGATTCACAGTTCCTAATAACTTTAGGTCTCTACTTTGGCAAGTAACATTTTAGGCTTAAGCTTTAAATATTTATATCAATTATTATTACAAGACTGCATTTAACTTTAACCTTTTTTAATAAGAATTCCTTTCTTTCCGTGTACTTAACTTTTCATTAGTTTATTAAACCCTCGAACTTTATTACATCCAATGCTGTTTATCTAGATCCAATTCCAGACATTTCACATGCCAAATTGTTTAATGGAAACACTCACCCTGCTTGGTTTTCCTTGCGGTTAACCCACGCAAACACACACAGCAACACAACTGCGGACACATTGAAATTAGTTCGGTTAAGGCTATGGGAAAATAATTTCCCAGACTCGCCTGCGGCGCATCAAAGCCTTTGATGGCTTCCGTTGTAAATTATACTAATACGCCACGTAAACAAGTTCCAAATCCTTTAAAGCTCCGCAAGAAGGCAAAACTAGGGGAAAATTGAAAAACGCCCGGCAACGGTCTGAGACTGCAAACTGAGACTGAAACTGAGGAAAATATTATAGCAAGCCGGTCGGTCGGTGATGGCAAAGGGAAACTGCATGCTGGGCGCAATTATGCTGGACAAACATTTGCCAGTCAGGCGGAGGAGCCATGGAGCTGCTCCACAGCGAGAAATGTTGCTTAAAAAGTGGATAAATGTTTGTTGAAAATAAGTGAAGATAAATATCTTTCTAACTGGACAGAGTTACTGGGTTTTTTGTCTGTGCAAAATAGTCAAATAATCTAGAAGACTTGTAAAATAACTAGAGTATTTAAGCCTTTAAAGTATTGTCTAAAAGTATGGGATACAATTAGTACTTAATTATAAAAATCTTTTATAATTATAAGATTTTCTCTCATTTATTTCACTGCATACTTTGGGGCACCCTAAGAAGGAATTTTAAATCGCAACCGCACTCCCTGCTTTTCGTCTGTGTAACGGAATCGACTAGCGGCAGGTGGAAATGGGCTTGGAGGTCGGTACTTAGCATGCACCTTGGCATATCCCCATACACAGACACACTCACTTAGCCAGGCCCGATGGCGATGCCACTACTACTGCCAGCGAGCTCCGATGCTTGCCAAACACAGACAAAGTCGCAGTCAGGGACTCTGGGCCAAGTCAGCTGGAGATGTTGACTAGGTCGTGAACGTGTTATAACAATAGGGTGTCACGATGGCACTGCAAGGAGCAGAAAGGAGCAGGAGCAGCGACATCGGCCGACTAGCTAGCGACTAACACTAACGAGCAGTTAAACAAGCTTAAGATTTGCCGACGCAAATAAAAACACAGCCAGGCTGCAAAGGAGCCAGAGCAGAAAGCCAGCTCCCAGTCCCGCCCAGAAATTTCCTGGCAAGCGGAACAACGAAACGGAAGTACGGATCGGCGTGCAATAACATAACCCAGGCACGTAGCACAAACACGGTACATTATATTGTATAAGCAGACTTCATTACGGTATTTAAACAGAATATCCACAAATTCTGACATGCCAACCGTGCACGGTGGGACGGATAGAAGCGGAGGCCTCCCGAACTGGTTACAGGAACACTCCAATGGAATTATCCATATGCTCGAGCAGTAATTACAACTTTTCGGTTTGGCCTGGTGAATTGAATTATTCGCCTTCATAAATTGAATATTATTGCTTGATAATTAAAACTTTGAGCTTACCTGCCGCCACATGGTGGAGAGTGGGCGTTTCTCTCCAGCCTTCAAAATCGAATCAAATTGGAACCTCACCCAACCCCCGAATATGTTATTGGAAAACTTGCCCGAAACTCCAAACATTTTGGCAGCGAAACTTTGGCATTTCACCCATGGTGCTCGAGGCGGGCGCACACACACTTACCCACATCAAAAGTCAAATTGTGAGTCGAAGTCGGAACTATCTGAAGGACCGCAGGACCCAAGTCGCTTTTCCTTTCCGCCCCACTGAGCGCCTTGTGAAAAATGCATCACGTACTGCGAAGGTTGGCGCCTGATTCCTGCCCGATTCCTGATGCCCGATGCCTGATGCCTGGCAATGTGATTAGGCCCCAGGCACTGAATGCACAAACTTTTCCTTCCCCCACAAAGCTCCGCCTGAATCCTGGCGTGGCGAGCCGACGACCCGACCCCGGCATATGCTGCCGCCGGGCAATAAAAATTTGTCGCCGGGCCAATAAATGTAGACCGTATCCAGTCAGCCAAGGAGCGGCCCTGTCGCCGGCGGAAAAACTAACCGAAAAACCATTTCATTGCTGTATTTAAAATGCCGCAAAACTTGCCGCACACACCGGAGCCCTTGCCCTTACCGCAAAATAGAAAGAAATAAATGAAAGAGAAGAAAAAACGGGGACACAATGGTGAAACAGGTGAGACAGACTCGTGCCCCTGTTCCTGCTCCTCCTGTTGCTCCTGCTCCACGAGCAAACAGATTTGGTGTAATAAAAAATTGAAATTAAAAGTTCCACTTCAGCTGCCCACTTGGCCGGTCACCGCGAATGGCCTGGCGATGCCATGGCGACACAGTTTTCACACGAAATAGGTCGTAAAAATTATGGGCCAATCCGCGGTTAAAGGTGGTCAGAGATGCCAGCAATTTTGGGTCTATTATTTGGCTATATAGCTTTCGAAACTTGCAGTTTAATAGCTCTTCTGAGTATTAAAGTGGTAAAAGTAGGTTTAAATTAATTTAATTTAATTTGTGTTGTTTATCAATACTCTAAATTTAAATAGTATTTTAAGCTAACGCATGCTTCATCAGCTTAAAGAGAGAAAAACGTGAATATAATGGCAGCAGAACATTTACCTGTTCATTTTATTAGCGCTCATTGATTTATAAACTAATGTGATTAGGTTTTTCAATTAAATCATCTAATGAAAATGTTTTAAGATGTGTGTGGAATAAAAAATGATTTATCTATATACATTTTTATAAATTTTAAAAGTGCTTTACACATTTCTCATGCCATAGAAAAATCACCACTTGCCTTTTTATCATCACTCATTTGCTTGCCAAGGTAAACGATTTTCCTAGGAATAAGCCACCCGCTCCTTCTCCTCATCCTCCTTCCTTTTTTTATCCACTTCAGCTGGCTGCTCAATGAGGTCAATGGGCAGGCATTTCATTTCCATAATTTTCATTATTTCGCGCTTAGAGCAAATCAAACAAATCGTTCTACAGCAACAAAAGAACATTTTTTAATTGCTTTGCGGCCTTGTCAATGTCGCGAGTGTTCGTTCACGGTGTCTCTCTATCTGAGGCAGTGTGTGTGGTTTTTTGGGGTGTTGGGGGCGTGGGTCTAATCAAAATTGCTGTGCACACACATTCAGCATATTTCACACATCGTAGCCGACAGAGAGCACATAAGAATAATGTGCGACACGTTCGGGCATAAACCGAATTAAGTATACGCCGCGTTTGCCAGGCAGTCAGCCGGCTAGCAGGACCTAGTGGAAAAAAAGAAGGTCCGGAGTCGCAGAGCCCGGAGAGCCAAAGAACCGGAGGAACCAGAGAGTCCGCTGCGCCGCAAAACCAACCACACACACGCACACGTAAACACACTCACGCCAAGTCGCATCTTTATGCGTTGTAGCTGCTCCAAAGTGGCAAGCAAACACATCCTCTAGATCCCACTCCACCCTGCCCTTTCCCTGGGGCTCCCACACCCTGCAGCATGTGCTAAATATGTACGAAAAAAATAAAATAAAAAAACGAAGGAAAAACAGCTTATTATAACCGAACTTTAGATATCCTTATGGTTTAGAGAAAGCCCTAACTTTAAAGCTAAAGTCTAAATCAAATCAATGATTCAAAATATATATTCAAGCGTAATTTATATGGAAAATATAAGAAACATTTAAACCTTCATAATCAAAATGAGCAGAATATTTACAAGCCTTGTGTTACCTCATCATTGCAGCAGAATATTTTTATCCGCTACATCTTCTAAACCCTTTAAACAAAATCCAAATACCCCCTGGAAAGGGTAGCAAAAAGAAAAGTGTGGCAAAAACTTTTCATGCGCACGCCGTGGAAAGGCCATCGTCTAAGTGAATTTTCCATAGTCAAATTTTGTGCGGCTTGCCTTAGGTCAGGCACGGTCTTCGGTCTTCGGGAGCTCGGTTGGTTCTCGGTCTTTGGGTTACGGGTTACGGACTACGGAATACGTTCTCCGCAGTCCGGACCCATTCGCAATTTTAAAAACTGCAAGAAATTTGCATTAATTTGCGTGGCCAGCTCATTCAAGCAATTTTGGCCC